TTTTTTGTAAATAATTGTCAAAAATGCTAATATATCTTAAACATTATTTAATTTTGAAAAGCAATGAAAGGAGGAAAGTTTGTAGGCTAACTCATAATCCCTCACACTAGATCCTAACCAAGCTGAGTACTGCTGCTAATATTAAAATTATTAATATTGATTATCTTAAAGTACATACTGGTTCTAAAAGGTCAGTAATAAAGGAAAAAGAGGCCATGAAGTGATCAGTAAAATGTTCAAATCAAGCCTTAAACATACGGGGGGTCTACTCATAGATTATTGGTTGAGTAATCCAGCTCAGTTTCTATATTACTCACAAATTCTGTCAGATCTATCAGTGCTGTTTTTAAATGTGAATGAGGAGAAATTGCAATAAGATTTTTTTATCTATAAATAACCTGAACTCTTTGTGCTGTCCGATGTATGCAAAACAGCACTGATTTCACATAAAAAGTCCCACTTGTTTGGCTTTAAAGTTGTGACTTGATTTGAGTTGCTTTTTTAACATTCAGTCTTTTAACTCGTTGCTTAAAAAACACGTGATGATTCGCATCTTTCTGTAAGTTTTTTTTCTCATACTTGGTGTTGTTAGATTTTTCACTTCACCTCTACAACCAGCAGAGGACGCTGCTGCTTCTTCAGTCAGAAAGAACTCACTGTGTCACATAGCTACCGGTACATTGTTTTTATGAATATTGTGTATTTTACTACATATTTCATGATACTCCTGATCATGGAAATAGTTTTTTTTTTTATAACTGTTTGCAAAACTGTTCTCCAGACATGTAACTTAAAACACAGACACATGAGGGTTAGATGGTCAAATATTTATTTGATGATAATTCAATAATTCCTTCTTTTAAAAACAAATGAACTAGTAGAAAGTAGCTAAACTAACAGAGCCTTATGCAACCTCCACCGGGACAGATGATGCTTCACAGTGCTGGTTCCACTAGCAAACATTTTCCAACGTCCTGAACGAGATCCACGAGAAGAAAACTTATGAAAGCAACTAAAAACAGAAGCTGGAATAACTGAGAATAGCTGCAAATACAGTTTTTTTTTTTTTTTTGGAACCAAACTAACCAGCACAATTTGCAATCGGTGGAGTAGTCTGACTCTGCTGAAGCGACCAAAACACCTTTTATAGATGTTTTCAACCAGAATTATTATATTATCTAATTCAGTTGTTACAACTTCTTCAAGAAAGCAACTGAAGATAAAAACAGATTATTTCCACTTGTTAATTTCAATTTTTATGTCGTCACGTGTTAAGACCGAGTTACACAGTGCATGTTTTGTTAAAATTTAGCTCGTAAATGACACAACAGAAGGGAAGAATAGAGCACAAAGAGCTCAGCAGGTACATGTGAGGTCTGAAAACGTCAGTTGTTGTAACATTTTGTACAAATCTTAAAGAAAATAACAACATCTGTGGAGTGTCAGGACATGATAATGTAACAACAGTGTGTGTGCAGCAGGCCGACGTGACGACAGGAGAAGCAACACAAATAGACCCACACATGCAAAAAAACATAACAGGACACCAACACGTACGAGCACTTTTTTTTCAGATGGATTCCCACTAGAACAGACAAACTGGGCTCCGGGTCATCGGTTGAATAACAGTACTGCGGTTGTATTTTCCCACACAGACTTCAGAATACTATTCAGCCCACGCAGGAGCGAAAAGAAGTTTAGCCCTGTTTTTCTTTTTCTTTTTTTTCTTTTTTTAACAGAATGGTCGGTGTAGCCCTCAGATGAACTCGGGCTGAATGTGAGTTCTACATTCACACACAAAAAAGCTTTAGAAAAAGGCATTTAGCTTCATTAAACAGCATTCGCTAGACCACAACCAGAAACACCAGAATCGAAAAAAAAAAACGAAACACTGTTAGAAGTCATTACAGGAACAAGACTGTGGCTGCAAACTCCTCATCTCAGAACAACGCTTCAGTGAAAGCAGAACACGGCCCGTAGAATGTGAGTAAGGCGAGCCTCGACTTTACATTTTAACCACAAAGCAGCTGCGAAACAGACATCGAACAGGAGTGAAGAGTGATGGGGAGCTGCAGCGCCAGCACGACCTCTGAAGGGAGATCGGGAAATAAAAAGCAGAAGCCGGTAGTGTGGAAGATGGAGCTCCTCAGCCTCTACAGCTCACTGACGGACACATGTAGCACCCTAGCAAATATCAACAGTCACATGGTTATCGCTAACATAATTCCACTGAAAAAAGTTTCCCTCTTCAGTCCGTTCAGTCCAGAAACTCTAGATGAGGAAAACATGACTCATCAGATCGATGCTGCATTCATGTCATGTGGGAAGAAATTCAAATCGCTTGAGTGGTCGTCTACGGACTTTCTTGACCAAACGTAGTCTCTGTAAATTTCATGTCAACACAAACCAGCAAAGTCTTCCTCCGTGATAGTTAAAACATTAGCATATATGATTTCCTACACTTCAAAATTAATATTTATTTCATGTCAAACTCCAAACCTTATATTCACAAGGAGTCAGTATCATCACAAAGTTCATACGTCCTGTCATTCCCATGGGACATGAATGCAGCATTCAATGCTATGTGTTCTCTCTCCGTCTTATGAAATGCTCGTCTACGGGACAGCACCCTCGGGCGCCTTCTCAAAGTCCCCAAACCTTCTTCAAAGCTCTGAGAGCATGTTCACCGATCACTTCAGGATGAAATGTTACACTCTGCTCCCTCCCTGTCGTCGTCGCTCACTGCTCCACTCCGGGTGCGTAGTCAGGGCGCCGGGTCTGGATGATCTTGGGCCGCGGGGGGCGGGGCTTGTCGTCCTGGTCGCTGTCGTCGAGTGCCGAGCTGTCGCCGCGCTCGTCCTCGCACACGTGGACGACCACGCTGGGGGTGGTGGGCGTGGCGGTGTGGAGCTCGTACTTGTCTCCTGGGGATCGCACAGAGAAGAAGAATGGTCACGACACATTAGGCTAAAAGTCACTCAGATTGCAGTCAGACTTTCATGATACAAATGAAGGAACCTCGCTTGTTCTCAGCATCAAGCTGGTTTGAATAATCAAAGTGAGCAGGTTTCTGAGTTTGGAGAGACCAGCAGGTGACTGCGACAAAGTCGTAAAAGCAGGAACTGTAAATAAAGATCAATGATACACCGCAGTATCACCAGTAACCATCATCATCTTGGTAACCTTACAATGAAGGTGTCAGTAAAGAAATTAAACATCATAATCGCTCTGAATCCCAAAACTTGTCAGGTTTAAGAGGCATGGTACTAAAGGTTTTATCAGATTTTCAACTTTCCGACAGTCCTTGAACTAATCATGTGCGACTTTTGCTTCCATCCAGAAAACTAACAAAAGCTTTACACGTCTCATTTAAAAATTCAACAGAAATGAAATGTTTGTATCAGATTATGTATAAAGTAACATATTTGGACTCTTTGGCGCAACAGAAAAGCCCCAAATGGCTCAACTACGACCATCGTTCATGTTACAAAAGCTCAGAGACATTTTTTAGATGAACTGCAGGCAGCGAAGTAGCAAAAATATCTATAATATGTAGAGGCAGTGTTTTTCCCAGTATTGGTAACACCTGTAGGCATCTTCAAAAAGGTTTGATTTCTTCTTAAATTTTTAAACGTGAAGAAGCCAAATTCTTCTGACAATAAATCCCAACATGTTAACATTTTGGTGGGAAAACTTATTAAAATGTTCAAGTAGTTAAGATGAATGTATATTTTTCTCCTGGATTCCCACTTCCTGGCTACTTGACATCACCGTGGAAAGCCCTGCAGCACGATCCATGTGTGAAGATGCAATCAGCCAGTATGCAAACGATGCTGCAGATACTTTAGAACAAAAGGAGGAAACACCTCAACACTATCTGAGCGGGAAGCTTCCAGATCTGTCCACAGATTCCAGCTCTCTTGCCAGTTTTCACAGCCTGAACAGTTGCTGTTTGTTCAGCTGTACGTTGTCAGGGTGTACCGAGGTGCAGCCGTGGCTCGTCACCTTGGAGGCATAACGACCTGCTGACTCAGAGGGATTGTGGGTAGACGTAACTGAAGTCTTTGTGTCACCGTGCTGACGTCACTGCAGTCGCTGCTGAAGAGTCACACTAAACTAAAGCGAACGTTCGATCCTCATACAAAGCTCCAAAGTCTTGCAGAGAATAATTTAAATCTATTTCTAGTAGCCTCCTTCAATATTACGTCTAAAAGGTCTCATCGAAAATTCAATACTATTCGACCCTTTTTGCTCAGTGTAGCTTTGGTGTAGACAGCACTGACCTTGTGCTGCAACAAAGATAATATTCAAGCAAAGCCAGTTGTTTCTGCTTAGAGATCAGCTCTTGTTTGTTTCTGTTCTACAGCAGTTCACTGCAGACGCTGTGTTAAAACACACAGAGAGGTTTGGATGTCTGATATGTAGCATGGTGCAGCTGGTAATCTTGGACCAACTTTGTCCTGTGAGTCAAGTGAATCCTGGAAGGACCAATAAAACAGTGACTAACCGCAAATTAATTGAGCAGCTAGCCAAACTTAGAAGCAACTCCTACGCAGAGGGATCGAGCTCTAATTTCTAATATATGCGATGTATCTAAATCAGTGTGGAGGCTAGACTAGTGTCCTTGCAGATGGCATGAGCACTGATAGCTTGTGTACCAGGTTTAGATTAAGAGATGCAAAAAGAGAAATTTTTAAAAAGTGGAATGTTCCTTTAACTCTATGAGTCCAAGACTATTTTACAGGTTATTTCACTACATTTACTTTAAAGTTTCCAGGCTATCTAATATTATGATAATTCCAAATATGGAACAAGCTCTGGTTCTACTGTTTTCCTATGATGTCATATTATTGACACTTCATTGCACAGACATGTAACTAGTAATGCTGGAAAGGTCAAGTTGTGTGTTTTCATTTGATCATCTTCATTCAAGACAGTTTAGGCCAAACACTAACTCCTCATGTTGTTTATCGTAGGGCTCTTTACGTTCCTTCACTTTCGAGTTTCCAGATGTTATCAGACTCTCAGAGACTGATGTGATACAGCTTCTAAAACTTGAAAGGTGTTGCTGGACTGTACCTGGTCCCAGTTTGGAGATGGCGCACAGCAGGTCGTAGTTGATGACCGGTGTGGCGTCCTGACTCTGCTCCCAGCCGACCGGAGGGGAGGCCGGGGGGGAGATGAGGAACTGCTTGTCCGGCTTGGGAGGCTCCAGACGAGGACTTCCTATGTGGACAGACTGCAGGACAAAACAGAAGTCTTAGCGCATTGGTGTTGACAACCTAGAATGTACGTGGCTCACATGTATTAAGTGTTCAGTGTTACATATAAACATAAATAAGATCATGTAAAAAATAATCAGTTGAATAATTGAAGAAATAATAAAAATCCAGCTGATTTAGGCAGTTGGCTTGTTTTAGGTATAAAAACTATAATATCACACATATGAATCGACCAACTAAAGGCTGCTGCTGTTCTGACAAACAAGCATCTCCTTTTGTTTAGCTTAACAAGGCAGTTCTGTGATAAACACTTTAACTACAATTTATGAGCCACTTATACCCTTTAATCAGACTAGTTCACATTTAGTCATTTATTCATCTTACATTCTGAACCTTAAAAAAGCATGTTGTCTTTAATGGAAGAAGAAAATCATCAAAACAGGCTATTTATTAAAGGCAGAAACTGTAAAAACTGAAGAAAAAACTGTGTCATTTTCAACTCCCCATGAGTAAAATTAACCAAATCTAAGCTTAAAATTATAAAGCTTCATCAAAATCTATATGTTCTACATGTTTCAATTAAAAAAAGTCATTTTCTTGAACCAGATTCCATAAAAACAAAAAACATCTGCACAATCGAGGAGCCATGTTTGATGCAGCCAAATGTCAGACATTTTGACTATTTTTTTTCTATTTCTTGGACTAAATAATGAAATAAATTCTACTTCAGTTTTCCTTTTTTTTTATGATTTATGGCGTTATAACTGTTTAATACTGCACAGAGGACATCTTTGAGTTCTCTCTACTTCTAGCCGTGGCATCTAAGGAAGTGCAGGACTTTATATTGAGGTGAAAATGAGCAGACAGTGACTAAAATGCGTCAGGAGCGAAAAAGGCCCAGAAAGTGCTTAAATTCAGAGGGTTAATATTTCATTCTTTGGGGCTCCACACAAATTGCAGCCAGACTGGGCAGAGTTTCATCAGGTTTTTAATTCTTCATGGCAAAGGTCAGCGTCTGACTGATCTCTGCTCAGCAGCGGGACGTTACCTGGGCGAAGTAGAGTCTCATCTCTTTGCCATTGAAGTCAGTCTTGTGCAGTCGGAGTCTGGCCTCAGCGGCAGCCAGAGCATCACTGAAGCTGATCCGGACCCGCTGGAAGGACTTGAAATACTGGAACTGCACCTCCGGGTCGAACGAACGGAACAAGGCCTCAAAGCTGGCCTGCAAAGACGGAGAGAGAGAGAGAGAGAGAGAGGAGGGAAGGTGGAAGCGAGAACATTAGGATTAGAGCGAAATGACGACTCAAATTTGCAAAATTGGACCAGCTTCTGCACCATCTCCTCCACTTCCACTCAATTTGCTCCCTTCAGCTCCTCTTATCTAAAAATACTAAACACAGAGCCACAGGCAGCCATGAATACACTTATGAGACTTGAAGACGCTATGAATAAAATTCATAAAAATAGCTTCTATTACCAGACACTATATCTGTTCTTCCTTTTCGCCGAAGAGAGCCTGCAGCCTTCACGTGTCTGTGTGTGTGCGTCAGGGGAGCTGTGGCCTCAATTTTGGATGACCAATTATTGTTATAAGGGATAATTAGGAGAGAAAAATGAAGTTGACGGCTGACCTTGATAACCATTTCCAGGACACACACAAACAGTGGCGGCTGCAGAACAGACACACTTGAGATGGCAGCACATCAGAATTGATGGATGCTGCTTAAACACACCCACACCTTGACGCAGCAGCTATTTAAACACACACAGTTTCAGTTATTTAATGAAGCAGCTGCCCTTGTAGGAACCATCCATCAAAAGCAGACCATTTTCAGTTAATAGCTGCTTTCTGACCACGTAGTCCTCTGACTCTGAGGGTTGCTGGGTCAGTGTGTCCACAAAAACACTAAATAATAAGCTTGCTGCAGACCCCAGCAGACAGCCAAGACAATGCTGGAGTGCAGGGTTCCCAAAACAATGACCACATCCACACAGAACAGCCGCAGAACAAGATAATTACTGTTTTCTCTTCACTATGACGCAAACAGCAACTAACGTTTCAGTTTATAATTAAAATACTGTCTTGCCTTGAATTGTGGTTTAATGTAACAATAGATCATTCTGATTCATCACGCTTTTATCTTTTTCATTTTTATTCCATGACTGACTTTTATATTCCACATATTTAAATTGCTCTTGTGTATATTTGAGGCAGGGTCGGGCTGTACATCAAATTAATTCGAACTAGAACCTCACTAATACTAGATTTTTGGGGCAGATATTGATTTTAGGGAGTAAAAAAATCTAGATATTGATAGATTTTATTACCAATTTGAGTTGTATTGAAAGGGGACAATGATAGGATCATTTGTTTATTATTATCTAGGGATGACATTTCACAAACTTGCCAAACACAGGCACTACTAGACTCCGCATCCCCGTCTACTCTGCTACATGTGCTGCAGACTTTGCTGAGAGCATTGTGAGGAATGTAATAGAGTCGAGCCACTCTGACAAACTATGTGACACATTTCTAAACTACACCAGGCACCTTTTGTTAAAAAACAAAGATTCATATGGACGACCAAGTAATGCCAATCAGATATGCTTGAATAATGGCAGCAGCAGCCAAAGACAGATCACATTCTCAGATATTTGAACAGATGAAAGCTGCAGTCAAGAGAAGCGATGCGTGTCTCTTAAATGCTCCTGTTCTAAATCTGAAATTTCTAAAAACTACTGAACATCAGCTGCATCGTTTTTTTGTCTGGCACATTCAGCTCCAGTCGCTGAGCAAAGGTGTACTGTTGAGTAATGTTTCGTCTTGACTCATATCATTCTTGAGGATGCCTGACGTAACACAGGGATATTTTTAATATTTTGTTCACACCATTTATATAACTGCAATAGACAAAAAGCAACAAAGGTCTTTCAGTGCAATACGCAATATATACAGACTACAGGCTGCTAGATTCCAACCCCGAACAATGTTGTGCTATTTATAACAATATAACACAATATGACAATAGAATTTATTGCACGGCTGGCTGTCGGATCAGACAGATTTAGCTCTGTACACCTTGTAATATACATTATTGGAAAACAGCTGATGCCTGTCCAACCAAGACTGAAAATCACAGTTTGAATATTTGGATAAAAATAGCATTGGACAAGTCATCTCTGCCTCCTGCAGTGATCAGTCAGAGTGTTGTACCCACTGGACTGCACTGCAGCACAACAGCAATCATTGAATGTGGATTTGTGCAGTGACACACAGCGTAGGAATATTCAGCCTGGCTTTATGAGGTCTTTAAGCCACTCGTAATCGCACAAAACCCACGAGACATGGGACACATAAACCTTAATGCAGTGTGAGCTCTATACACCTGTGCTCTTCTATAATCAACAGTTTGCACTGCCACAGTTTTCATGTTGGTTCTCTGCAGGGTCCTCAGGAAAATTTACAGTGTGGAAAATAACTGGCAAAATCATTCACTGAACACAAAAGAATGATTGTACAGATTGTCCATCTGTCTATTAAATGGACTGTTAGCTCAAAGACGTCAAACACTGCTTGAATACACATGGTTTTCCCTTTAAAAGCCGCTTCGTACAATTGATAGTGAAAGAGGTATTCCAGTACTTCAGTGAGACAACAACCCTGCTTGAAATAACCCTGATGACAACACTATGACACGATCATTATTTCAAATTCGCAAAGCCCCCCCCGAGAGCCACAGAAGACGTTACGCAACAGTTTCTCACTGTCTCAATGTGCTTTATGACACTGGCTGGATATTTCGGCTTGTTGCCCTGCTGCATCAAGAATTTTGGACGTCTCCCTAATTGTACTACATGACAGACTCTAGAGTCTAAGCCTATGAAGTACCCAAACCCTAAATACACAGGCTGCAGCCCAATAGAGCTCCAGAGAAAAAAAAAAAAGTAAAATATATAGGGATGTAAAAGATTGTGAAAAAATTTACTGTAGGTTAACTGGAGTTCCTGGTTGTGCCACCAGGTGGAGCCTTTTACTGCTAAATGAAAAGAAAGACTGCAGTTCATATGCTTTGTTTAGTGACCAGAGGAGGTGGTGGCTTTGACTAGAGGCAGCTCAGTGGCAAGCAGAGAGCATTGTGGGGGTTTAGCTAGCCATGGGCACAATGACAAAGACTTCTGTTGTGGTTAATGGATTCTGGCCAGAGTTCACATATTCATGATGTGCCAGCTGTACCGGTAACATCTTACTGGAGCTCAGCGAATTATGCAACCAAGTTGCCTTTGTGCTGAATGTCCACTGAGATTTGTTCCTCCTCCTTCACAATCGTTTACTGACTGATAATGCGATAATCACTTAAGATATTTGCACCTCAAATAGTAACAAACAAAAATTTTAAAAAGTGCCGGGTAAAGGACAACTGCAGCAAGTTGCATGAATAAATTTCGAGGACACTGGTTGGCAGAAGGAGCGGCATAGTCGGACTGCCATCTTACCTGCGCCTCAGGACGGTGGAACACCTCATGGTTGGTCACCGAGGCAACCAGGCAAAAGCGGTTACACTTGGTGGTCTTGATGTGCATGACGGCCGAACCTGGGAGCCGAAACTTCTTCCACCTGATAACCGAGGTCAGGGTGCGACGGGACGCTGAAACCGGCGAAGATGATGAGGGTGATGATGAGGAAGGGGGGAGATGGGGGGATCGGAGGAGCGTTGCCTTCCCCAGGATGACAGACGAGCAGAAAGTAACTGATGCTTCCAAACCGGAAACGGGTCGGGATTTTTCGTTTTTTTTCTTTCAGCACCAGTTCCTCACACGTGGGTCTTCTTTTGTCGGGGTAAAAGCAGCAGTTTCTCTTCTGTCCTCACAACGAACAGATTTTACAAGTACACTTCAATGAACTCGCAGCCTCCTAACCCACACTTCCAAGGTTATCAAGTCTGAATCTGCAGCTGAAAGACAAGATCCACCATTCAGCTTTTTTCTCCTCTCTTCTGCCCAGTTAATATCCAGCCTTTCTCCCTGTCTCTCTCGGTGAATCAGCTCTGCAGCAGCCTGCAAACTGAAGGAATTTTCCAGAGATTTGGGTGTGGAGAGCCGAAAATGTCATTCAGCCTCTCTTAAGCTCGCTCGCTCACTCTCTCTCTTGTCCTGCTTCCTACAGCTGCTTAAATGAGCCCCTGCCAGCCGATGACGCATTACCCACAATCCCCTCCCTCTCGTCTTCCTGGTCTCATTCATTCGTTCATTCACTGCAAGCCAATCGCCTGTGGGAGGGGGAGGGACGCCTGCTTTTTTTTTTCCCCCTCTCTCTTCCCTGTTCTGACAGATACTGCCCAACGCTGAGTAATCATACAGAAAGGAAGAGAGGCAATGTGTGTGTGTGTGTGTGCAGAAAGAGATACTGGAAAATAATGACATCACCGCTGAGCACACTGACACATTAATCTGCTTTCTGCACAAATCCTTTGTTGAATGGAAAATGTGCGACAATGAGCCTTTCACCTCTTAATTTCCCAAAGACTTGTCACCTGACTCTGAGTCCACTCCCCATGACGAGGAAACATGTCAGTCTTTGCAAAGACGGAGAGAGAGAGAGCGAGAGAGAGAGAGAGGAGACAAAGGGAGAAGGAAAAAACAGCTGACAGACAAAGAGGGAGATTGGCAGAAATTTAAAAAAAAAAGAGTGGAAAGACTTGACTAGTTGGAAGAATGCTGGATGGAAGGATGAAGGGATACAAAGCGAGAGGTGGGAGGTGGTACTCATGGAAAGTATGCAGTTTGATAACATGCTTTTATGAGGTATTAATAGCAGAGAGCTTGAAGTGGAGGGGAAGTGTGTGTGTGCAGCCGGCAGTTGGAAAAACAAGACCAGACTGTGCAGCCAATTCATGAACATTTGCACCTGTGTGAGAGTACATTTCTAGCTTAGGAAGAGGAGGTCAACGCAGATGAGACAAAGAAAAGCTTTGTTGCCTACGTAGCCCACATTTATTGACAACTGTGAACGTATGGTTTCTAATTCACTTCTGAATAACAATAATCAATAGTTGAAAATGGGTCAAAATGCTAATTAGTGTTTCCAAAAGGCTACGATGACAAATGTCTGGTTGTGTCCGCAACCCAAAGACATTCAATTTCATGTCAAAAAGCCGAAAATATTCACATTCAAGAAGCTGGAATCAGAGAATTTCATTTTTATATTATCTTTTTTTTTTTTTA